AGATCTGAATCTGAATTGTATGTACCTAAGAAGTAATTCCATATTCAGGACAAGGTCAAGGTCAATACATCTCCAACTGTAAATTAGTACTTTTATATCTCTGTGACATTAAATTGCTTTAGACTAAATATCTAAATGTCAAGAAAAGTATTTTAAAAAACTGTTTTCAAATAGATAGAAGACATTATTTTATAAATTCAGATTTAAGATGGCCCATGGCCTATTCAACCTCCTTGATAAAATGGACAGTCTGATCACAGCAGATAGCATGGTTTCTTGGTCTTGAAGCAGCCTAATTAGCAATCTTCAAATAAACCACAAGAAACTGAAATCAAACAGCTAAGTAAAGAGTTTTCACGTTTCTGAATGAGAAATCAGTAGAAGCAGGATTGATCCTCCATAATCTCCAAATTATAACTACTTTTAAAATCATAATATTCTCAGTTTTGCAAAGTTAACTTATTACATACATTAAGATCTACATTCTGTTGTACTTACTTCTCACTTATGTAGTTTCAATGTAGATTTTGAAAAAAAAAGTGGCATATGAAATTGACTAGAACTAATTGGAACAGGCAGCTACTTAAAAAAAAATCAAACAGCTGGATGTCATTCCCTATGAGGAAGTATTTGCTGTAAACATCACAATTCCTTCATCATGATGTTTTTCATGCAAGCTGGAATGTCAACAGCACAAGAAGTCACTCAATAGCCCACAAAAGAATAAAATAGCTGAAGTTAAATTTACATAAATCATTTCCTAAGCAAATATATCTGTGACAATGCTCCCGAAGCATTGTGTATGCTTTTGCTTATTACTGCAAAGATACTAAACTAGATCAAAAACTTATTCATAACGGTTTTTCTAATATTTCAACTTGCCCTCACAGCATCTGAAGACATATAATCCAGTAATTACACATTTAATGCCTCAGCAATTTTTTCAATGATAGGGGTACTTCATGGATGCAAGTCTCTATTATTAAGATGAGTCTTTTCTATACACGATGGAAACCTATGTTTCATACATTTACACTTTCAGAAGACACTTGAAAAAGGCCCACTTTAGATGGAGTTTGTAAAAAGGGTTAAAAATCTTAGTGTTAAGGAAATTATTTATATGTTTACCAGTTTAGCTTAAAAATGTATATACAATAATAATTAAAAGATGATGATGCATGGAAAAGCTGTGTTACTTGGGAAAGGAAAAGGCCATTGACAAGTGTATGTTATTTTCGTACATCTTTTTTGGAATCTTTGCTGTAAACATTATTCCTAAGTACTACAGAAGAGCCTAAGTGTTCACAGTAACCCAAAAGTTACGGTGGTGGTGAGGAATTACATCACCAGATCTAGTTGCTAAATCTGGCTGGAAAGGTATTTGTGAAGTCATCCTGTTGAAACTTATTCACTGATTTTTCTTCTATTTCTTCAAGTAAGTGGAACACCTCCAGTTAGGGATAGAAAACTTTGCAAATGAGGAGTGAAGTCACAAACCAATGCACCTAACAATCCGCTTAACATACACTGATACTTGAACATGCCATGCTCAATAGAATACTTATTCAAGCTCCTGTTTAGTTTAAGTAATATAGGAAAAGTATAGGCCGTTCTGGTCTGCATACACTAAAAAGAAATTTTCTAATCAACCTCTTCACGGATGTTATTACCTTTGGAGCAGGTGGAGTTGAATCCAGGACTCCTGGGTCCAACTGTCGAGAGGACACTGCCACTGCACCATATGAACCCACTAAAAACATTTTATTACCTTAATTAAAAAGGAGCCAATCTTTGCATTCAAACATCAAACACAAAGAGAGGAATGTTACGCCCTAGTTTCTTTAAACAGATTTCTTGAGAATCCTCTTTCTAGGATGAGCTAGACTCAAATCAATGGACTAATTAATGAATTATTATCATTGACTGGTGATTTCTGGAGATTCTTAATATTAAGAACACAATTTAAACTCTGGGAACAAGAAAGGAGTGAAACTTTGACTTTAAAGTCTTTTGTTAATCAAACTAATCCAAATTGAACAATTAATTCTTCTGGCACATTCGTGTGATTGAATGACATTTTGAAAAATAACCCTGTAATTGTGTTAATCGTCTTGACTCGTGGCCACTCCTCCAAGGGAGGTTTCCTTGGTGAAATTGGAGGTAATTAAGCTCATATTTTGCCCACCTAAATCAAGTATGGAGTGAGGTTCTCAGCAAATTAAAGGAGGTTGTACAGAATTTCTGACTGACATCTTCAAATGTTGATAGAGAGTTTGTGTGAAGGTTCAGAAAAATTAAAATTTGACTCAAACAATTATTTGATTAATGGCTAAGTCTCAGGCAAACAACATTATATTAAATATGTCACACAGCACAAATAGCAAGATTAGCTCAAGCCAAGAATAGAGATTTATGTCCAAATCAAAAATTACTATGGACGACAATTTGCCTCAGGTATTGTCAATGGTGAAGCCTTAACGCCCAAAAGGAAGTACCTGTCAAGTTACTACAAAAAGAGGTTTAGTTAAATTATGCTCATGTCGCAGTACAGGTATTGGAAATCCATAGTTATATTTTAACATGGGCTGTACATTTTGACTTGATAGAGGTGTACAAAATGATCAGAGGTATAGATACAGTAGACAGCCAGAGACTTTTTCCGAGGGTGGAGGTAACTTTTACAAGGGGACATAGTTTTAAAGTGAAAGGAGGTAGATATCGGGGAGACGTCAGAGGTAGGTTCTTTACTCAGAGAGTGGAAGGGGCATGGAATGCATTGCCGGAGAGGGTAGTGGAGTCGGCCTCATTAGGGGCATGTAAGCGGCTATTAGATAGGCATATGGATGATAGTATAAGGTAGCGGTGGAGGTTAGAACGACCTTAGGTTTAGGGTAAAAGTTTGGCACAACGTTGTGGGCCGAAGGGTCTGTACTGTGCTGTTCTATGTTCTATGTAAGCCCAATCCAACATTGCAAGCGATTGTTTTATATGAAGCAAGATCCAGGTTATGCTGAAATAGAGATACATTTAAATTGATATTGTACTATGACTACCCAGATGCTGTTGATTGATGTTAAAAATCCAATTTGTGTAATGTTAAGTGGATTTTCAATATTGAATGTTAAATATGGTATTAATTACAGCATCTTTGTGTCCAACTTCATCTTTAATAGTTCTAACAAGTAGAGGTTAATTTTTGCCTTGCTCTTTTTCATAATTTGCTTTGGGAAATGCCAGAAAATTCAAAAAGCAAATTAATTTAAGCATCTTTTGAATCCCTGACATGAACTACACATCTGAATCAAATTTTCTGTTATGTACCACAGAAGTGGGAAAATTAATCTGAAGCTCTCTGATATCTGTTGCATATTGGCATTTCTGATACACGATTTCTGACATATGTGAACGTACAAACAAGGAGCAGGACCAGGTAATTCAGCTCCTCAAGCATGCTTCACCATCTAATAAGATCATGGCTATGTGATTGTTACCTTAGGTCCACATTTCCCTGATAACACTTCACCCCTTCTAACCAAGATTCCATCCACCTTTGCCTTAAAATATTCAAAGACTCTACTTCGACCATCTTTGGATGAAAAAAGTTCTGAAGATACATGATGCTCTGAGAAAATATTTCACCTCATCTCTTTTTGAAATAGTGAGCCCTTATTTTTAAACAGTTACTCCTAGTTCTAAATTCTCTTATAAAAGAAGACGTCCTTTCCAAATCAACCTTGTCAAGATCCCTCAGGATTTTATATGCTTCTATCAAGTTGCCTCTTACATTCTAAACTCCAGTGGATACAAGCCTAGTCTGCTCAAGCTTTCTTCATAATACAACCCACCCCATTTCAGGTATTAATCAGGAAGCCTTCTTTTCACAGTTTCCAATGCATTACATCTTTCCTTAAATAAGGTTGTCAATATTGTATATACATTGTTAAGGATTCGGTTTTAATCAATCCTACAGTAAACTAAACTACTTGTTTCATCCATTTATGAAGGGAAAACATCTGAAAAATTGCAAACACTTCAGGTCAGAAATAACATTGCCACGGTCTTCTACTAGATCTCCAGGTAAATACTCCATATCCAACATACACAAAGAATTCCCTCTAGACAGACTGGTAATTTACAATCATTTTTCTTATCGCTTTGTCATAGCAAATGAGGGCCATGTCTTGTTACCGTGGCACCACGCCCAACTGAACAGTAGGTCCAAAGGTTTGATATATATACTTACAATTGGATTGAAGATAAATAATCAAGGTGTGCACTGAATCTAACCTGCAGGTAATAGAGTTTTCTCATCATCGTGAACCGCATGATGAACATCTTGCTTCAACAACTGACTGAATATTGGTCATTGCACAAAACATGCTGTTCAACTTCATTTATAGTATTATAAGATTTTTTACATCTATCTGAAATGTCAGATACTGGTTCAGTTTAATTTCCCATTGGAAAGAGAATACCTCCTTAAGCATTGGGCTGAAATGCCAGCCGACATTATGTCTCAAGTCCTGCTTGAGCTTGAACTCACAACCTTATGACTCACAGCCATAATTACTACTATTTAATCCACTTAGTAAACATAAATTCTCAGACAGTTGATATTAATTGCATGGAATAACCTAGAAATTTAAAAAATAATGTTGCCAAAAAACTGCTGAATTCTCAGTGCAAAATAATACCCATGCCAATGTAATTCTGAGATGTTTAAAGATTAAGTTTCCTCCTGAAACAACCCACATGATTTCAAATGAACTTGCTTTTTCTGTTGAACATTACTATTCTTAATTATGAAGCATAAATTCTCAGTGGTTACAGATGGTTCAGCCTAGTAAAACAAACTCATGAACTCCAGAAGAGACAAACAAGTAGTTACTCCTTCCACTAGGTTTTACTGAAATAGGATGGCAGAAGTTAAAAGCTGATGTAGCTTAAACATCAGGTCAGTTAGGTCTTGGCAACAGCAAACAAAAAGCTCAGAGTCTTACCTCCAGTAAACAAGCACGCCTATGAGAAGAATCAAACAAACAAAAGTCAAAGCTGAGACAACCACCAATGGAATAATCCATTCCATCTTGCTGGAGGGTGAGTATGATTGTGTGGCCATACTTGAAGATGATCTGTCCTCTGCATAAATCCAGGAACAGAAACAAAATAGAAACATAAAAATGAAATATTAGAATAAAATCTTACTGCAACATACAGTGTGATAATATAATGTAGAACAACATGGTCTTGCTCATGGCAAACAGCAGAAGCTACCTTATCTCTTGTTCTTACCTGTTGAGTTGTGCAACATCATTCCGGTGATCAGACAGATTTAAGTGCAATAAAAATGCCATTCAGATGATATTCATAGTTATTTATACAAACACTTTAAGCTTCAATAATAACCAAATGCTACACAATCTTGAATGCTATTTTCTATGTAAATAAAGTTTACATCCCTTTGCTCTAAATTAGAGCCCTTCATCACATTGATACAATTAACGCCCTATAGCAAACGTCATTATGAACCTGTTAATGAGGCAAGGTCGGTGATAAGTATCCACAATGTACAAATGCACTGATAGACTGACAATTTAGTGCCTGGCATCCAACTGTAGGACTGATGTAGAACATGATATAAATGAACATGAGCAGTAAAACATTTTCTCTTAAATATTCCCTTTAATTTTATAATAAAATTCACAAAGGCCTAACTTCTAAAATTTTAAGTTTCTCATGTTCGCCCCTTTGTTCTTTTATCAGAACTCTGCAACAAAACTGGAAACACAATATCTGTTAGTCAATACTTATTTAGATACTGTAATTGCTCAGTCAGGTACAAGAATTTCAAGCTGAGATAACACAGTGTGGAGCTGGAGGAACACAGCAGGCCAGGCAGCATCAGAGGAGCAGGAAAGCTGA